CCCCAAAACCCCAAAACCCCAAAACCCCAAAACCCCTCAATATTATTAAAATTTGAATTTTTAAATTAATGGATCAGGTACAATCCAAACCAGAGGGTGAAAATACCGAAGAAGAGATTGATATGATCAGCTTCAGGAAAACCAACGACAGTGTTGAAGAGAACATGACTGATCTTGACAACGGAGAATATATTCTCATCAAAAACAAGCTCTTACAAGGTACCTCATATTTATATCATGTCTAGGCTCTAAAGAAAGCTCTATTGAAGACTCAAAGGCAAAGTCCCATCTTGAAAGCTCTTATGGACTGAATCCTTGCAGCTCAATTGAGAATTCAAGCAAGAATGCACTTGATAGTTCCAATAAATTTAAGAGGCCATCCAATGGAAAAATGAGCAAAGATAAATTATTTGGTAAGGATATAGCTGCTCTGAGGCTTATCCTCTTATTCTTTTAAATCCAAGCATTTTCCATCACCTTAAGAGGAAGGAATTCTTCACTTCGAGACAAGATCTAGGAGTTATCTCTGACTTTTATACAGAATACTTAATTAAAAAGGGTTTGAGAACTCCAACGCATCCTTCTGAAAATACAGATCCTAAGTAGTTACCCAATGTTTATCTCTAGCATTGAGACATTACATGGTGAATTCTCTCAAAATATCAGGCATAATCAGGCGTCAATAGAAACATTGGGTAAATAAAATTGTCAGTTCCAGAAACATGCAAGGGACTGGCAAAAGTTTGAGCTATAAAAGCCTACACAGTACTAAACCTCATAGTAGGAATGCTGGTACCACTGAAACCAAGGTATGAAGACTCTCTAAAACTATAGAGTTACTTCCAAAACGCTCCGAGAATCTCAAGCCAATATGACAGTCGAGAGGAGTCAGGCTCCTCCAAATTTGATCACAGCATGTCATTTCAAAACATCACAAGTTTGAAAAATCTTCAAAAGATGCAAAAACTTGAAGAACAGTTGGAAAAATACCAGGAAATTGAGCAGAGAGCAGAGGAACTTGCAAGCTCAAACCAAAAACTAACCTATCTTCTTAAGAAAACTCAGCAGAAGGTTTATACTCTTGAGAAGAAGGTCAAGACAATAGAGAATAAGAAGAATAAAGCCAAAGAACTTCTTACTAGCATGGAATCTGAAAAAGACCAAATCTGGGAGAAATGGGTTAAGTTGAATGCTAAACACAAAACTGAAATGTCCAAGAAGGAAAAGTAAGTATTTACCTCTAAATACAGGGAATACAACCTTCTCAAGGGGAAGAATCACGCTCATCTCAAAGACCTAGCAGAAAGACTTGAAAAGCTTGATCGTGAGAATGCCCAAATCAGGAAAGAAAGAGATACCCAAAGAATGGAAATAGAAGAACTGAATGAAAAGATCAGAAAGACCCACAGATCCTCTTCTAAAGGACGAAGGAGAAGAGACAGTACACAGAAAAGAGAGAGATCCAGAAGTAAAGTACAAAGATGCAAGATCAAGGTCATCACACTCCTTCAACAAGAAGTTGGAGGGACTGATTACAAGCACACATCTGCACTACCTCTTGATGTCCCTGGCTTCATTGAGGAGGAAAGATTATTTGTATCCAATATGGAAGAGAAGTTCCAACATTTATCGAAGGAAGATGCTCGCCTGTCTGTTTTAGCAACTAAAGCCGTCTCTAGGATCAAGACTTTGAACAAAATTTGAAAGCTTCTTAAAAATGAGCTTGAGAATTCAAATACAATAGCTGGAAATATGGAGAAGGAATACAAGAAAATCCTCGGAAAGGGTGGTGACTCAAACATTGCTCATACAAAAACCCACAGAGATTATACTGAAAAGAAATATGGATCGATCTTGAACTCAACATCAATCTCTCAAAGAAATCAGGAGCTTGAACAATCCAATCTCCTGATGAATAGGAAGTATTCTTGTACTCAGGATGGAAAGCTATCAAATACGTTAATAAATCATAACGATTCTCATGGAATGAACTCAGTAATGCTTTCTCCAGAGAAAGACTACAATCAACCCCAAGCGTATACAGATAGGGACTTCAGTCAGGTCAATTTCTCTCCAATCAACGACGATCCTCACAGATCGAGAAATTGCAACATCAAGGAGTCTCAGAGCGCAGCTACTCTGTCTATTCATCAGCTTCAGAAATCCAGGATCCCTGAGACTAAAAACTACGATAATTATAGGTAAAGCCTTAGTCTAATTTCTAGGAATAAGTATGAACTCAGCAAGGACACAATTTATGACAATAGAGGAAGGGTATCCTCTCACAATAAAGACAAGAGGGATTACTACAAAGATGGAAAAACTAAAGCCAAGAACCATACCTTGCTCAGAAAATACAGCGAAAACACTCTCGCTAGAGGAGAGAAATCTAAAAGTTATCTAAACGTTGTGAAAATGACCACTCAGTCAAATATGGCTAACTTTCCACAATCTGCGAGGAACTTTAGAGGACAAGCTTCACATATGTTTGATGGGTCTAAGCTCAGGGCTTGTCATAGCGGGCTAACCTCCCCTCAGACTCAGAATTATATGGCAGAAGTAGAGTCTGATTATTCCAAAGGCAATAGCCAGTCTTATTCAAATATCTTTAAACAGAGGAGGAACACTAATACAGCTGCTGATCAATCGAGCTCATCAAAAAGATCGTCAAAATTGAATTGAGCTTTGCCTCAAAGTTATTTTTATAATTAAGGTTCAACGCTGAGGTATATACAGGGGTTTTGGGGTTTTGGGGTTTTGGGGTTTTGGGG